CGCGAAGGACCTGACGCGGCGCCACGCTATGTGTTAGGTGCACAAAATCCTCCAATCCGGGGAGCCTGTGGTGCTGGCTTGTGTGGTGGTCTACGTGGCGCGGTTACGCGGTCGTCACAAACGTCCGGTCAGCGACCCTTAGGTGCGGAGGTTTCGCGCAGAGATGGGGTGGGGACGGTTCTGCTGTCGTGGCGCGCGTGATTACAATGCACCCCCATGTGACGCATCTCGACTTCCCTGGTCCTTGTTTGACTATCACCTGCGACGCCCGCTGCTTGGCGGGTCAGTCTAAGTTTGCGGGCGTTTTACTTCGTGTAGTGTGTGAGCATGTATGTGTCGTCTGTTTCATCAGCTCTTGCTTTTGCTTGCATTCTATCCGTTGTTCCATCTCGTTAGAAGAGGTATTAAAAGCTGCAAGCATGTTGTGAACGGCCTTAGCTGCGCACGTGCCTATGAAAGCGCAGAGAAGAGGGAGGGGAAGGGAGGAAGAGCTGTCTGGGTCGGCCACCCAGTCTGGAATAGGGTCAATGAAGAAATGCGGTAGTTGTGTTATTAAGAGGCGAATGGGCAGAGCCCTGCTTGTGGTGGCTACCCTGGTCGCCCGCAACATGTCCACCAAACGCAATGATTGCAAAATCATGGTGCTACCAAAGATGAGCTGTTGCTCCGGGCAGGAATTTGAAAAATGTCCACTGCCGGTCGCCGCTGGTATTCTTTGCCTGGCGACTGCGTCCGCTTAGCAATGCCCCCCCCCCCCCCCTCCCCTCATCCACTTCTGACCCTCTCCATTCCCGACAGGCTAGGCGTGCAAATAATCGCCAATGCAGCCATGAAGTCATCAAAGAGCGTCCGAGGTAATCCGACCGCGTGGCGCGCGCCGCGCCGCCGCCGCCTGTTTGCAAACCGGTCGCGAGCGTGCCGAACCGACGGCCCGCGACAAATCGCCGCTCCGGCGGGCGCCCCTCTAATTGGTGGTTACACATTCAATTTGGCGCGAGCTGTGTCGGCGCGTGGCGCCGCCGAACGGCGCGCTGCCCGCATTGTCGGCGAGCCGGGAGCAGGAATGTTATGGTTCGAGTGGATGAATAATGGATGAAACGGATGAATCGTGCGCGGGGGAGCGGAAGGGATCCATTAATGGTCCTGATGGGTTTTTGGCGGCGCGTGCAGTCGGCCCCGTGGATTTTCGTTCGGGCGCGATGGGCAGGTTGCCGGCGTATCATTATCCAAATGTGTCATTTGATGTCACCAGCAATTTTACTGGCGTAATGACGGGCTGAAAGAGAGGACGCTGAGTGCACAGATCAATATATCTGAAGGAAATTGATGACATTCGTGCAGCCAGCTAACGAAGCGTGCCTGCCATAGTTGTACATGCCTCGTGGAGTTGCGACTTCCCGGAATCGGTCACGGGGTCAAATGAAGAGCATTTGGCTCAACCGGGTCTCAGAGTGTGAAGTCAGAGTGCACAGGTTTGGCCTGACTGCTGTTCATGGTTAGGGCCTGCAGCCGTGCTGTGCATCGGAAAAATGTCCATCCCCGTTTATTTCTGCATCGCGGAACCGTATTATGACACCTGTGAGCTTAGAGCAGAATGAACAACACGGAACGTTTGCTGCCATGGTTAACACACCTCCACGTTCCTTCAATGCGCAAGTGGTTTGTGTCTTGAACAGTCAAGTGGGTGACTTCCCTTTATATTTTTGTCGAACTGTCCTATCAAAATGTGTGGACCTTGCTAAGTGTCAGTTATGGTCAGTAAGAATGTTTTTGTTCTTGTTGGCTCTAGTCCGGTATCCAAACTATGTAGCAGCCGTTTTGACAACCTTCCAGACCAGCGCAATCATTGGGTTTGAAAAGCACACGGTGTTTTTCAAACATCTTGTAAGCAAATATCTATCCAGTCTTTGCAATCGCGATTAGTATCTATGCCTACCAACCAGTACATTTCATTTTTAATAACCCCTTTGCGTATCACCTTTGTTTCAGGCTCCTATCTACTCATCATGCAAAAAAATGTGAAAATTTAGTTACGCTTGGTGCCACACACACTAACGTCACGCAAATTTATTGAACCACCACGTTGCATGCAACTCGTGATAGATTTCCGTACAGATACAAGCTGTAACAGGCTGACAGGCTGTAGTAACAGGCTGCATCAGGCTGCTTTATTCAACGGCATTCATCAAAACTGCAGGGATGGAAAAAAGACTCACTTGAGAGAGTAATTAGCAAATAAGAATCACGCCTCGGTAACAGCACAGAGAAAACGGAAATGAGGATTCTAATGAAGTTGACCTAAACTTCCCCCAAAATGTGATTTTGTTTCGGATTTCGACCTCTTGAATTTGCGCTCCCGATGTCGAGGCTTATTTTTGTCAACACCTGAACCATCTTTACTGAAGAATACCTTCCCATTTCAAGCCCGTGTGGTACTGCGGCTTTGTAAGAGGCTTAGAACTTGCCGTAGCTCATAGAAAGCAAGTTAGTAAGACGGTTCGGCTATCACCACTGGAAACTTTTTCGTTTATCGTTCATGAAGGTTGTCCGAGGCGCAAAAGCACAGTTTATTGCAGAATAGCGTGGCCTGACACATGTCTACTGAAGAAGAGTGTGCAAATTACACAATTTTTTGTGATGAGGTGTCTACGAAACTGCGCCATGTGTACAGCCGGAAGAACCTACCGTTAGCGGTAAAATGGAATTTGCAAGACCTTAGCCAGTCCTGCATATTGCCTGACGGGACGGGGGAGTCTGAATGACTGGAATGCTCATGATGTTTGCGCAATGCTCTTGTGCTGTAGCATTCGTGATAAATGGTCGTCTAGTCTAACTTTCTAAGCCCCTTACATCTTGAAACAGGTCATCTTATGCTTAGATGCTGCGGCATGTCGCATTTCTCTGTTGATTGTACCGCTCTAGGTGGTATCTCGTCAAAAGCCGGCTGATGTTTGCAGGTCAGCCTAGAATGTAAAGAAGTTGGGATCACATAAGCACATCACATACTTACAGGATGTTATACAGTACAAGATGAACATGAACCTAACAGTGGTGTTTTTAGGAATCTAGTGATCTTGTATTTCAGGGAAATCATCTACATTTCCTTGGTCCAGTAGTCCCTTTTTGCACATATTCAATTGGGGTGGAGCGGGGAGGTCAGGGAAGCAGAACAGTAAGACATCAAGCAGCGCTAAAACGCTCATTAAAACGTTGGCAAAAGTTAATCAAGCCGGCATCTGCATTCCCCCCCCCCCCTCCCCCTCCTCCCCACCTCCCTTTAGATGATATGTAAAGAGATCCCGTGGGTCGATCCAGGCAAACAAGGATATGACAATGCATTTCCGCATTCTGAGGGCTGTTTTATGCGTGTCGAATGAAACGCCGGATATTTCTTAGCCGTGTTATTAAAATGTGTTCCATTGTATAGCCCATGGCATGCTTGCACCCTGAACTACGAAGGGATCAATAGACTTGTGGCGGTTAATAGCGATAACTCAGCGTAATAACTCTGAATTCATAATGCCAATGGTTTGGACTAACTTTAAAAGACCATAACACGTTCATTCGGCTCACTGCTTTCTCCCTTTGGTTAAAAAAAATGCATTTGAAGACGTGTATTTTGGCACTGTTGACACTCACACCTTAGCAGCAGTCAGAAACAAATGCAAAAACAGCCCGAGAAGGGTTCTAGTGGTTGTTCTTCTCCTTCCTCAAAGTCTTTGGTTCAAATGAGATCAGTTGTTGGCATCAAAAGCATTGCACAAAGTCCCCGACATGTCCAGCAGACCTTCTGGCGTGGGTCATGCCAGCACCATTTCAACGTTGCACATGTCGACAGCTGCAAGTCTTTGGAGTGGTTTCTCCGAGCTCCATAACGCTAAGGTGGCACAAACAAGCGTTAATGCACAGAGCTATACGAACTATATACACTGGATGGGCGTGGAATGGAACGAAATGACCGAAAATGGCGCTGATTCTGTACGGTCTGTCTCGAGGAGCTGGCACCTGCCCAAGGACGACAGCTGATAATGACTAGATAAACACTCACATCAAGTGCAATACAGATTCAGGCATTGCTGCCATCTATATCAACGTTCTAAGCCGTCGTCTTACGACAGTTGTTTGCACCTTTGCTCCAGGAGGGGGGCTTCAGAGGTCAATTAAATATATCAAAAAGTAAGCACGTCAGAGCCGCTGGAGTAAAGGCGTTAGAAAATTGTCGTCAAACCGCACCATTTAGGCTTGACGAAACAATACCAAAAGTCATTTTTACGGGTCAAATTTGCTCAAGGTGGTCAAATCAGTCTCCAAAACGGTTATGAAGTGCGTTTTCTGCGATAACATGGCAGGTCAAGGTCAGGAACTTAAGTTGACACCATGTGAAAACATTATATAATTTAAGCTGCCCAAAATTTTGGTGTGGTGCCTAAAGCAGTTCGGAAGCTGTGCCGGAAAAACCTTGAGGGGAGGTCGGAGGCCCGCCCTCATTAAATGAAGGTTAAAAACCTGTCCATGGAAGAACGTGAACGCTCCGTCAAGCTGCAGCACACGCAGAGCAGAGTAACGCGCTGCATACTATGCTACGTATGCTACCGGACAAGATGCCTCCGTTGGAGTAGAGCGAAGCATCTTCCTTGGCGTGGCAGGGATCCACAGCTATAGCAAAAATAGCACACTGCCTAACAGCGCAGTCTTGTCCGCGGTGTGGAGATAGGCGTCATTGCCGTACTGGGACTTGCTGACTTCATGACAATGTCTACAAATCTTCTGGCGCACCGCCTTCGAAGACGTATTAAAGCGGAAACCTCCACCACTGGAACATCCACCACGACGCCTCCGTTCGAAACCGCTCGAGTCCGTATTTGGAGACCTTCGAGAGTGCCTCTGGAGACATCTGAATCTGCCTCTGCGGACGTCTGACTTCGCCACCGGCGCTCCGAATCGCAAATGGACACCGACTCGGTGACACCGACTCCACCTGGCTGGTGGGTGGTCGGTGGGTCGGGCCGGCGCCCGCAGCTCAGCCCGGTTAGTTGCCTGGTAGGTCGTGGCTGACCGAGAACGAGGTGAGCACGCTGCGCCGGGCCGGGTTTACTCCCAGGTTCTCCCAGTTGATCCAGGACAGCCTCGCCGTCAGGTCTGTCGGCAGCAGACATTATTTCTTATCAGCGAGACGGTGGTGGGAAGAACAAGACGCTGCGTGTGATCCAGGCGGGCACTACGGCAACGTTCTCACTCTTGCGACATGGGCATTCACCTCGTGAAGGTACGCATGCACGCGTCGTGGCTCACATCACTACCTAACGGGATAAATCAGGATAAAGGAATAACACAGGATAAAGGATAAAGATAGACAACAGATAGATAAGATAACAGGACAAAGGATTATTCACACACTGCTGCCATGCATAACAGGACTTGAGTTTGCTCCGCATATTCTACATTGGGTTAGCGTCCGTTAAATGTGCTAAATATGAGCAGTTACCTCATGACCGCAAAAATATACTACCGCCAGAGGTCTGTTCTGAGAAATACACGTTGAGGTAGAATCTAGAATCCGCAATGCCTTGATAAGATCTCAAGAGAATCTCGTCGGGAAGTCGCGTGTGTCGGTGGAATGGAGATATTGAATATGAGCAGAGATCGCTTAGTGCGTATGGTCATATTAGCACCCTTCCATAGATACTCCTTTTTGTACGTTGATTATCCCGAGCTGGTGAGCCGTTAGCCCAATGTCTATGGGCAGATGCATCGTTGAGACCAAGATGACCGCACTGTGGGACGAAATGGTCCCCGGCACGCGGGGCTCTCGGCCCTGGAGAAAATACGTCACTGACCGACCCTGATCGCCGGCTCTAGGTTTGCCCTGATTTGAGGTGACCCCTGACCTCACGTGCCTCGCGACCTTTCTGTTTTAGGCTGTTACTAACAGGCTCTTTCTGGTGAAAAAGGCTGACTCCAGACTCACCCTGGCCAGACAACCCTCCGACCTGAGTTACCCGCTGACCTGAAGTTCGATTCCCTGGATGACAGCTTCCCTTGACCTGAAGTTCCCCTCCCTAGAATTGAGGTCTTACCTGACCTGAGGCCCTGACCTAAGTCACCCTGCCCATCATGAGCGCATACCTGTCCAGAGACTCCCCCGCCCCTCAATGCTCCACAAATGCTTGCAGTGCCCTCCGACCTGAGTTACTCCCTGACCTGAGGTGTCCCCTGACCTGAGGTGTTTCCAGACATGAGTTGTTCCCTGACCTGAGGTGTTCCTTGGCCTGAGGTGTTCCCTGACCTGAGGTGTCCCCTGACCTGAGGTGTCCCCTTACGTGAGGTGTTCCCCGACATGAGTTGTTCCCTGACCTGAGGTGTTCCCTGACCTGAGGTGTTCCCTGATCTGAGGTGTACCCTGACCTGAGGTGTCCCCTGACCTCCGATGTCCCCTGACCTGAGGTGTTCCCTGGCCTGAGGTGTTCCCTGGCCTGAGGTGTTCCCTGGCCTGACGTGTTCACTGACCTGACGTGTTCACTGACCTGAAGTGTTCCCTGACCTGAGGTATCCCCTGACCTGGGGTGCTCCCTGACCTGGGGTGTTCCCTGACCTGAGATGTACCCTGACCTGAGGCGTCCCCTGACCTCAGATGTACCCTGACCTGAGGTGCTCCCTGACCTGAGGTGTTCCACTCGACGCTGCCCTCGGTGCGGATCTCGCCACGCAGACACTTGTCGATGTAGGTGATGGGGTCTAGGTCGCTGTCCAGCACCTCGCGCAGCAGCGCGATGTAGGCGATCGCCAGTCGCAGCGTGTCGATTTTGCTCAGCCGCTTCTCGTACGGGAACGTCGGCACGTGCACGCGCAGCTCCTCGAACGCCGAATTGATGCTGGAACAAGTGTTACTGAGGGCTGAGTTATAGAGGCTGTAACCAGCGGCGCAGAAACGGCCCAAATAGTGGGGTGGTCAGACCGCTTGAAATAGAACTCTTTCCATGCTTATGGCTGCTGTGAACCCCTCAGGAAAAAGCGGCAAGTCTGGACCGTGCGAACCAGTACACCAACGTATACTGTACAAATAGAAGTACCCCCCCCCGTGCAGGTGCACAAAATCAGCTGGAACTTGCCCAGCCCCAATTAAGTCATCCCGTGGTATCCTCTATCGCTGATTTCTTCTCAGATTTGGGACAGTTATTTTATGTAAATCTGAATATGATGTATTAGTTTAAAAACCTTTAGGTTCTTTGCTAAAAATAGACGTTGGATCTGGTATCCTCACGAAGTCTGCCTCTTTCAACATGTCAGAATGAGGCTGATTTCATAGGCAGCTGGTGTGACTTCCGCGCACCTGCCGTACCGCCTTCCTTACCAGTGTACACGGGGACGAAGAGATACCAAATTAGGAAACAGTGTTGCGAGACCGTCATCCGCCCACGGGATAGATCATCCAATGCGTGTCGAACTCTGCATCCGCCCAGCGTGGCGCCCAGCCTCGCCGTGTGCTGGCCTGCTCACATGTTCTGTTATGCTGGCTGGATCGCATGTTCATTGGAGGATGATCTCAGTTGTCGAACCCGTGGGGAGGACGATGTGCTCTCCGCTGCCAGAGTTTTCAGAGTGCAATGGACCGAGCAACTTTGACATACGTATCTTTGATGTGATAGATATCCTTCCCAGTCAGAGACTGAAGGGCCCTTCTGCCCCAGATCGGGGTGCCTGGCGGCTGTCATTTTGACGATACGGGAGCCGGAACCCCTGGTGGATCTGGGGGCCTCAGAGGGATACAGCATACATCGGTCCCTCTCTGGCGCGTGGGACCCTCTGACCGGGGCAGTTGGCACCGGTTCGACCCAGGGGCATTCATTGACACAAAAGGATCCCTCACTGGCACAATGGGTTTAATAACTAGCACGGAAAACCCAGCTGGGCTTATCAGGCTTCTGGCTGACCCGAGGCGGCGGGCATCCCTTCAGCACTGTGCCTCCGGAATGACAAATGACATTACATTGTCTTATTACAATCTCTTCCATTGCCATTTTTTATAACCCCTTCTACTGTCAAAGGACTCCGACCAACACAACAGGCCCTGCGGCTTTGGGACCCCTTACCTGCTCGTGTACAGCAAATGAGCTGTACAGAGGCAGGTCAACTGCCGCTGGCCGACATGGAATCCTCTGTTAGGCAATGTGAGCGCGATTGGCGCAACAGGCCCTCTGACTGACATTTGCTGGCCATGGTCCTGGGGCCAGAGGTCCTTTAATATAGCTTCCAGCAATACAACGGATGAAAGGTAGCTTCAAATTTAGCAACCATCCAGGGAGTACAATTTCTATCAGGCGGTCCAGGGTGTCCCTAAGGGACTGCGTCCGCTGACGAACTACGGACTCCAAGGGTTGTGACGCCGCCGTGCAGTTCTCCTGGACCACCTCCTCCAATGCTACCACCGCTCACTTTAGGACCCTGGTCTATAAGACCACATCCTCCAGTGGTACTACTGGTCATTCTAGGGCCCCGGTCTCTTGGACCACCTTCTCCAATGCCACCACCGGTCACTCTAGGAGACCGCTCTCTCGGACCACCTCGTCCAGTGCTTCCAACGGTCACTCTAGGCCGGTGTCCACGGCTGCTATTGGCCATTAGAAATTATTGGACAACGAAATCAAGAATGCCAATGCTTTTTTACCGACCCGGATAATGCAGTGTACACCCGTGACGGCAAGTGCCAGCAGCAAGTAATAATCGGTGTCACAAAGTATCGTTCCTTTTTCTCTCCAATGATTACGCTTGGTCTCTCAGTGGTTTCTCCATCGCCAAATTGGAGGCTTTGGTCCAAAACGAACTGCATGGCAGTGTGAAGGGTTGTGTTTGACTGGATCGGCCCGTTGCCCTGTCGAAGGCAGTGGTCTGACAGCGACTGAAGGTGACGTCGAAGGTCCGTGTTTCGCCGCCAGAGGCCGTCGTCGGCGTCGATAACAGGACTCTCAGTGGGCCCAGTGCTGGTTTCCGCTCTGAGGTCTGCATGTTCTTAGGATGTGTGATTGTGATAAGGGCACCAGGACTGTGGTTGGGAGGTACCGAGTTTGGCTTGACTCCCATTATCACACATGCTTTCAATGGTTTCGGTTTCATTTACACCACTATTGGCGTGAGTGACACTAAAATATCAGCAGTCTTGAAATAAAACGATCACAGTCACTGACACACCTATAGATCAGAGACCACGCGCTGGCGGGGCCGCAGGCTTTGGCCGCGCGGGGACCAGTGGCGCCGTTCGGGGGCTGGGTCTCAGGATCTGCTGGCGGCGTCAGACTCCTAAGTTCAGATGGATTGGGACGGTAACGGGACAGCCTGAGTCTGCCAGGAACCGCTGGCTGTGGCAACACGGAGCAACTGCGATGTGTGTGCTGACGGCTAATGTGTGCCTGAGGCTTGAGCTGAGGAACATATCGATTTCCACAAATTGGTATTCGTCCAAGACGATGCTGAGCTACAGAAATTGCATTTTGATTGTCCATATTGATTTCTTCCCTGTTCGTATCGCATAAGCATCATGCCTCCGACTGAGATGGACTCGTTTTCAAGTAAGGAGGGCCGATCTTTAAGCTAACGACGGGGAGAATCGGGCCCCTATAACTGAAAACGAGCCTTCGTCCCCACTAACACCTATCGCTGTGCAGGGTCGCAGCGGCCACTTTTGTAAAACATTCAGCAGCGCGGTTCCTTGGTACGGAGCCGTACACTAGCAAAGCTACATACAGCAGCTACCATAATTCCAACATTTTACATTGCACTTGAAATTTGCCCGAGAAGTGCCTGCTAAGATTATACAATAACAACCGAATGGAATAAGTTACCCCCTTCGATCCCTTTTCCGTAGGAACGAACTCCTTCCGCTCGGTGGTTGATCACCGCGACTCGGACTGTGGCCGGCTTTGTACGCCGCGAAGTGCTCCCGGCAGTGTCGGCCCTACCTGAGCATCCTCTTGCGCTCGCGGATGTTGGCCGCGTGCCGCTGCACCCGGTACGGGCTGCCCGGAAAGTACAGGTCGTCCAGAGGCTCGAACGGCCGCTCCTCCACACCTGCGGCAGGAGGCATTGCCGTCGAAGCTCCTTCACACGTGCACGAGGGCCCGGGCGTGATGCAGTGTTCGCGTCAGATGAGCCGCCACCGCCTGGGGCGCTGCACCGGGCCGGAGGCCGTCTGAAAGCTGGACCGCACGAGATCGAAGCTCACTGTCGGGCCCGGCGTGCAAGGGCCAACATCACACACACATTGCGATAGCGATTACAGGCGGGAAGCGCGTGCGTGCGAGCCCAGCGCTACAGTCTGCACATTTCAGTCAAGTCCCCGGCTTGGATGCAGATGCAGATGTGCTCCGATGATGATGTGCAGATTTGCTCCGTTGCGCGGAGCGTGACGCGTCTCATCTGGATCGAGTCAGACGCAGACAGTTGGTGACGGTTTGTAGGCGAGGCTTGACGACAGGTATTCTCAGGTAAATTCAGTACCTTTGAGTCACGTCAGCTTATGCTACGTTCAATATTTTCTTCTGAGTCAGCGACATCTTTTTGATAACCAATTTGGTTGTTTGATAGCTTCACCAAACTGGTCATTGTGTCTTCAGAAGGAAGATATCGCATTAATGCGAAGTAGAAGGAAATCGCGGCTGAGGTGAAAAACGACAATGAATTAGCTACGCGTGAGAAGCTCACTGAAGGGCAGAATTTTAAAAAAAAAAACTGGAACTGAAAGATTACAAGCTTCGTGATATGGTAAAAGGTCTAGAAGCTTATATAGATGGGACCGAGCAACACCCACGCCAGTCTGGACCTAGTCTGAGTTAAGCGGAACGGATCCCTGCGCCAAAGGCTGACGGGGCCACTGATGAGACCAGAATTGTTGCTCTCAAGGTTATCAATGGAAAACTCAAGGTGGACGTTATGGGTATGGCCGTGTGGTGCCACCGTCCGAGAAAAAATGTGAATTAATTTTCAATATTTGGGTAGTGGCAACATTGTTTACTGGGTTACCTTCCGTCAGACTGATGATCTAGGCGTCTTAGTTATGATAATTTACTGAAATGCGAGCCCGACAAGTCGCGATTTTTGCAGATATGAAGCGTGAAAGTAAGCATTTCACAAACTGTCATACAGAGAGGGTATCAGTCCGTCTAAGAATTTTCGTGGCAAAATATCTCCCGATATATAGCCATGATATGAAATGGTACTGGTAATTGAGATGAAATGGGAATTTCATTTCTATTAGGGATGAAATTACCCCCAAGCCATGAAGGATCTGTCCACGCTGTCATACACGAAAAACCGAGGTGAGCCAGGCCCGAACAGTAGACTGCTGTACCGCCAAACCCTGAAGCAAGGGAGGGTCCACGGGAGACCAGGCCCACGCCTATCGCCCTAGCTCTATCTCAAAGTAGATCACACGGCAATCATTCTCAAGAATGCAAGTATTGCTGTGCTCCGAAAGATTGTCGACGTACTTCTCATGATCGTTTTATTGGTTTCAAGTCGGTTTCCTCTTACTCAATAGATACAAAGTTTTCACGCAGCGCTATGCTTCAATTCCCGCTCATTTTCAAGTACATCAAAAATTTCACATTATCACCAATTGAGAACAACAAATGATAAAATGCCTTAACGTGCTGATCGAAAAACTGCTAAAATGTACGCCTCATACTAATGACATTGCTTGGATATGAAGTAAAAACATGAGAGCAATCTGTAGACTCAGGCAATTAACTGACAACAAAAAACAACAACTTTAGTGCTTTTGAACACCTAAATTCTTCCCTGTTTGGACTCTTGCTGCTCAACCCTTGCCCTGATGAGGGTCGGTTCCCTCTCTTTCTAATCTTTTTTTTTAAACATCTGCGCCCATATATTCAGCAGCTTTTGGGCATTTATTTGCGTGATTGAACATCAAAAACATGCATCTGGCACTTTTAGCCTCTGAGCAGCGCCGGTTTTCAGGAGCGCTGCTCGCTGCCGCGGCCTGCGGCCCCCGCGGGCGGCGGACGACAATCGACGAATGCGCCAGTCGCGCGCAGGGGGTGCGGCGCTGTTATAGTTACATAGCTGCAACATAGCGGAGCTCCACACCATTCCTTTGTGCTCAAACCGCAAGCCAATGCTTATCGATATACTCAGAATTAAACAAGGAGCGGGTCCGTTTGAGACCCATCCTGCAACGTGGCATCGTTTCATAAATGTTGTCATGCAAAGTTGAAATAGGTTTTCAATAGCATTCCTTTGTGTATATGTAGTTCGCGTCCAGGAACATCTGAGGCCTTGCATGAAACTGACCATCTAAGGGCTCTTCTGACCTGAGCAATCAATGCCTCTTACGAACACTGGAAAAATGAAAATGGTTTCGGAGCTGCTTTTAGCGGCCTGACATTTGCAACGTTTGGCCACGTATTTACTTAAAGCCTCTTCTTACAGTTTTACATGGCTAGTACTTAACAATGATCCTATCGGGCTTGTACACCTATTCTTTCGGTTCTTTACGCTTGCTTCTACTTCTGAGCTTGGACTGCCGCGACTTGGATGTATGTTTTCTGGTGTTAACGTACGGTTTATTGCATTGCTGAGATAGAGGGAGTAGGCGACCCGTTATCTTTTCCTGGTTAGCAGTTAAAAAATATCCTACGTTAGGTCAGGCATTGCAGATCTGAGTGAAAAATACTTAATCATAAATGAGACGACGGAAACAAATACAGGCACTTTAAAAGGCGTTTTCCGTTCCTTTTATTTTTTCCATTTCCTTGCAAACTGGTAAAAAGTAAAGAAACAAAGTGCAATTTACGTGGCCAGATGACAGAACTGCAGAGCACGGAGGGGGAGAGAGGGCGGGGGGAAGGGGGGTAGAACACAGGTCCGAACTTCGCGGATTTCATTCTTACGTCTATTGTCTCTCTATGCAAAACGCCTTTACAGCCTCGAACCCCACCCTCAGTTTTTTACCAATGCCGAGACAACTGCGTACAGCGGAGATTTCGTGGATTAACGCAGGAGAGAACCTGAACAGCTGTTATACGCGAAAGCGATTGAAAAAAGTCAGGGCACTGAACACCCGAAGCGGCAAGCATCGCAGGTGTGAACGGCGTCGGTCACCAGCGGCAGCGGCACAAGCGACAGAACAGGAGCGTGGCAAAACGACGTTCCGTTGCCGCGCTCCCACACCGCCAACCGCCAGCGAAAACGCCGCGCACTCACCTAGGGTGCCGACTCCGAGAGCCTGGCAGCGGGAGAAGGCGCAGGAGGAGGGCGTCTCCTTGCCGTCCTGCTCGTAGGTGGGCATGGCGGCCAGCTGGGGCGCGAACACCTGCTGCCTGAGCACCTGGCCTGGTAGCCCTGCCCGGCCGCCGCCCCCGCCCGCACTGAGCGCGCCCCCGTACCCCGCCATCGCCGGCCGGCCGCGTCAAAACGGCCTGACGCCCCGACAAATTGAAGTTCGCCCGGCAGCGCGGCTCGAGTGTTTGTGTATGACACAGCGCGGACTGCCACTGATGGCACCGCGCTATCCCTGGTGCAAATTGCCGGCGGTTTTTTCCGGCGGCAGTGATTCGCCACCGGCGGCGCGCTGTTATTTCCTCTGAGAGCGGGCTGGGGCTGACAGCATCCATATTAGCGGGCGCCCGCCCCCAGGACCGCAAATTACCCTGTCAGCGGCAGGCGCAGCAGGAGCGCGTGTAACAAGGGCACGCATGAGCTCCGTCGGCGGCTCTGACGGCCGTTCTTACCCGGGGCTTGGGGCGCTGGCTCCGCCCAGCCTCCACAGACGGACCAATCAGAATCATGTGCGAATTTATCCGGGGAGAGAGCTGTGGTGCGATCGATGCAGTTCTCGGACCTAGACGAGTGCTGGAAAACGGACCACGCACGTCCGGGCCGAAGATAAGCTCGGCAATTCTTGGTGAAAAAGAGAGACATTGTAAGGTTCAGGAATTTTCAGATTAATGCATTTTTTAAGCACAATTTCCAACCCCTTCCGGAAAAAAAGCTTGCCAAAACTTTTTGTTCGGCTTAGTCCCTTCAGCGGACAGAGACCTTAACGCATGCCGATCGCAAACGTGTTTGTTGAGGAAATCAGCGTGCAGACAATCTTTTTAACTTTGAAGAAAGTTCGATATCTCCCTTGTTCTACCCGCCGCCATGAACCTTACCTGGAGCACGGCTGTTTTCATAGCATGCAGTAATGATTGTTTGACATCCCCGTTTATATGGCACCTGGTGGCACAATGAAGATCCGTTATTTTCACTATGCTGTCTCATAACGTTGCCAACGTCGTTTTAAACGGACCGTTCGACACTTATTTTGGGTTTTGAACAGAGAGAGTCATTTTCCGGATTGTTTCCTGCAGTTCACAGCTATGCTCTTTTAAAGAGCAATGAGTCACCTTCTCAAATCTTCTGATCTTATGCAGAATACGTATTTGGAGCTGAAAAACGTCTAACATAACATGGTGGCGACCAAAAACGCGAACGTTCGCAGAGAAATGAGCAATCTAAAATTAAGTATGCTGTTAAGTGCATTTGTGAGGAACATAATTCATATAGATGAGACAATAGTAATAGCCCCATTCCTCATACAGAAACCAGGAAAACGGAGATACAGATGCGTTGATATTTCGGCAACATGCCTGTATCGAAACAACCGCAGAAGACTACTTCTATTGTTTCGATAAAAGTATGTTGCCGAAATATCAATGCACATACACACACACACGCACACACACACCCACCCACCCACCCACACACACACACACACATCTATATATATATATATATATATATATATATATCAGTTTTCCTGGTTTTTATCCAAGGAATAAGCCTAGTATACTGTCCAATGTAAAATTACTAAAAACTCACCCTTCGCAGGACTACTACAAACTCCCATCAGGATGCATGACGTCGTATCGGGAAGAAAGACATGGTAGCTAACTTTGGATACAGCACTGACGGATTTGGGACACACGATGCGCGACAGTGTCGAGTATGAGGATGAATGTGTCGAGATCTAAAGGCGCCTTTGTTTGCGTTTCACGTGGGGAACTCGTTTGTAATGGATCCGTGGCACATTCATGTATCTTGTTTCGCGTAGAGCACGAAATACCAGTCGTGTGATTAACTGCAAACCTGACAATATAATACACAACCATAGACGCGCACCACGGTACTCTTTCACGACCAGCGCATGTGCATATGAATAATGAATAGGCCTTAAACCCCACCCCACCATGTTTGATTCCCAGCCCCCCCCCCCCCCCGACCCAACCGCATTTGATTCAGATGTTTCATAGCCGTCGTTTCCAAAGGACAACACCATGCACCATGTTGCTAAAGGGTACATAATTACGCAAATTGTTGCCCTACATTCTCATTCATACAACCCTACAATGACACGCCCTTTGCTGCGGACACGCATTACTGATGGTAACAATCCATTCCATGATGAAATAAAATATATGGACCGAAGCACATCACGGCGAGTAGCCAGTGAATTTAAGTTTCCACATTGAAAGAAACGCACACAGAAAGAAACTGTGCAGAAACACACCACAATAAGAAGGCAGTGAATTTCGGTTTCCACATGCGGTAAATGTGGACCCCTAAAGAACACAGCATTCAAGAATTACTTACTGTCAGCCTGAAGCTACGATAGACACAGCAACTTCACTTAAGCTCACAAATCTTACGTATTGTGGTGTGATTGTGCGGGGTGTGCGCCCTCGCCCTCGCTGTCTTCCGAGCTCTACATCTGATTGGGTGCCGGGGACGTCACGTAACCGCGGGTCCCCAGATTCGCCGGGGGTCAAGGGTCGGCCGCTGAGGCGGCGGCAGGGACCCGATGCTCGCAGGCGCCGGTCAGTTTTTGAACGAGTCCAGGCGAATACGCGCTACGTTCTCTTGCAAGCTATTTCGGCCATCATGCCCGAAACCGCCGCGGCCAGTGGCGACGCCGTGATAACGGCTGCTGCGAGAGTCCCAGCACTAGTGATGTCGACTACTACGGCCGGAGTGGACATAGGGGCCGCGGTGATTGGTGGAGGCCTATTCGACGCGCGACTCATCCCCGAGTACGATGGCACAGCCGACGTCGTAGAGCGGTTCACGAGGGCGGCCGTGCTCTGCCGTCATCGTGGAGCGGACTTGCCCAGCATTCTGCCGGCGCGACTCGCGGGTGGCGCGTTTGCCGTCTGACTGCAGATGCCGGAGGAGGCGCGCGCATCGCGTGACGCCGTGCGTGACGCTCTCTATGACGCCTTTGCGATGGATCAGTTCGCCGCCGGCGACGCATATACCAGCCGACGGCTGCTGCCTGGTGAGTTGCCTGACGTGCTCCTGGCGGACCTACGGCGTCTCGCAGCTCTGTGGGGTTCCGGAAACCGTGCTCACGTGCGCGTTTGCCGCCGGCCTGCTCGACGAGGTGCGGAGGACTGTCCGCGCTGGCGCCCGGGCGGAGGCTTCGAGTCTGGAGAGCATCCTGGTGCGAGCCCGGGCAGTGCTGAGCGACGAACGTGCCGGTGCGGCAGCGGCAGCAGCTGGAGCGCACGAAGAACGAGGAACCCAACTGCCCAAACGGGCAGGGAGGCTGCGTTAGCGCCAGCGCAGTCCCCCGAGCAGAAGCGCGCGCTCTACCAGTCGTGACACTACTGGTCGACCGGCGCCCTCGGCGTGCCCTGCTCGACACAGTATGTACGAACACCCTGGTTCTCGCGAGCTGCTGCCGCGCGTGGCGCCCGTGCGCGGTCAAGATGCGAACGGTGAACGATGTCGTGTTGCGGTGCGTGGGCACCGCCCAGGTAACGTTCGACTACAGAGGCAAGCAAGTAATGCTCGCGGCGCTGGTGGTCCCGGATCGTCCATTGAGGTTGGACGTGCTGATCGGTATGTCCGGCATCACCGCGCTAGGAGGCATCGGTGTTCGGTCCCCGACTGACGTGCAGCTGGGTGCGGCAACGCAGGAGGCGCCGGAGTCGGCAAGTGACGAGCCGGCATGCGGCGCGGCAGCGCCGAGCAGCGGTACGCGAAGCTCACTGGCGTTGGAAGCGGCGGATTTCACGGCTTGGTTCGACGGTGCTCACTGGAGCGTGACGTGGAAGTGGGCGCAAGAACGTGGTCCCGAACGTCTGGGGAACACCGTGACTGAATACACCGTGCCGGCTGAAGCACGAGAGGCCTACGAGCGCGAGTTGGCTGAGTGGGTGGCGAACGAATGACTCCGGCCCTGTGACGAGCAAGAGGACGGACCCGCTCGAGGCCTTATTCCCTTGATGGCAGTTCAACAGCCGCACAAGGGGAAGGCCAGGCCGGCCGACGTGTGCGCCGAGCAGTTGTGCCGCTGGCGCCAGCATGGTGCCCGGTTGGTCGTGGTCTATCTGCGAAAAGCGTACTTGCAGCTGCGTCTGTAGCGCCGGCTGTGGCCCTATCAGACGGTGCAGGTCAAGGGCCGAACCTACAGCCTCACGCGGCTCGGATTCGGCCTCAATGTGGCGCTGCTGATTATGAAGGCTGTCGTTTAGGCGGTGCTGCGTGAAAACGAGGCGATCAGCCGGGGAGTGCTCGCCTATGTGGACGACCTGCTCATCGAAGAAGACGTGATCAGCGCCGACAAGGTGGTGGAGCACTTTGCGAGGTACGGGCTGGCCTGCAAGCCGCCGGAGCGCGTCGCGGACGGAGCGCGAATGCTCGGCCTTCAAGTCGAGTCTCGGGATGATGACCTGCGGTGGTGTCGAGACAATGAGGTGCCTCCACCGCCGACCGATCTCACCCGGCGTACAGTGTTTGCGTGGTGCGGGCAGTTGTTGGCACGCCTCCCCGTGGCGGGATGGTTGCGGCCAGCAGCTGCCTGGCTGAAGAGGCGAGTGAACGGCCTGACGATCGGGTGGGACGACCCAGTGTCGGATGATGTGTTGCGCACGCATATCCGGGAAGTCGCAACGCGGGTGGGGGCAGCTGACCCTGCTCGTGGGCCGTGGCGAATGGTCGACCGAGAGCCCGTGGTGTGGACTGACGCGAGCGCCACAGCAAACGGGGTAGTCCTGGAGGATGCGGAGGACGGCGTTCTTGAGGATGCCGCGCGGCTCCGGCCAAAGTCCAAGGCAGCGGACCACATCAACATGGCGGAGCTGAACGCGGCAATGAGTGGCGTGAACATCGTCCTGACATGGGGCGTTAAGCGCTTCAGCTTACGCACGGACTCGGCCACAGTGTTCAAGTGATTGAGTGACGCCTTGAGCGGACGCTCTCGTCTCAGAACAAGTGCGCAAGGGGAAATGCTGATCAGACGCAGGATTGGCCTCGTGCGACAGGTGGTCGACGAGTTCCAGCTCTCGGTGACCCCCCAGCAGGTGCGGTCACAGGACAATCCTGCCTTCGCGCCCACCCGAGTTCCCCAGACCTGGCTGCGAGCGGAGCCTCGAGATGCGACATCAGCCGCAGCAGCCGCCGCGCCAAAACGTTTCACGGCACCCCCGCAAGATGCGACTTCGGTCTCCGCAACTATCGGGCCGGAAGAAGTCGCGGCGCCCCCTGCGGACCAAGAAGCCACTCACGAGC